AAAGACCCCACCAAAAGAGCTGAATATGAAATCTTTTAGTCGCACATGAGTAGAGAACATTCCCTCAAAATTCCAGCCTTTCAGCTTTTCTTGTTCCCGAGTTATCAGTTTCCCTGTCAAAATTTTCATGTGCCCGTACATAATTCACGGGCGGTTCTAAAAAGTTGAGTTTGAAGCCCCTTGATCGTACATGGATATTGAAAATTCTTCTAAAATTTCATCCTTCTAGCTTTTCTCGTTCCCGAGTTAGCAATTTTCCCACCAAAATTTTCGCACGCGAGGTCCAAACGTGCATGAGGGTTGGTACCGCAGTCCTGGGGCGGTACTTGGCCAGAAAACCAACTGGCAAAATTTTTGTGCCGGAGCTTGCTTGGTTGGCAAGTTGAAATACTCGGACAGTCGAACACAAACACACACTCACACTCAAACATACACACACAGACAGGGTCGTTGCAATAGGCTTCTTTGCAATTTGCATATATGCAAAAACGCATAACTAATTTCAAGTTGCTTAGCTCAAATAATATGTGAATCGAATTCACAAAGATTAGTCGGAAGTTAGTAAATAACCTCAGAGATCCTGGCACAGATAAAATTAAAAACTGATACATAAGCATTCATGCCCAGCCAGAAACTGTCTTCCAAAATCTAATCTTCCCAGCTTTTGTTACTGCTGAATTAAAGGGAAAAAACATACATATAGGGTCTTGCCATAATGCGTTTTCATTTGCGCAAACAAATAATACAAGAGCCTAATAAAGTAGCAAATTTTGAATCACAATGAAGTTATGAGCTAAGATGGAACCCCACTGCTGCAAAAGCAGTAGTAATATAAAGTTGAACCTGTAGTGGACCCTGCGGCGGACTTGGTCTATCCAGTACGTTGAGTTCAGCAGCTCCGGTTTGTTCACCAGTTGAATTTTTGACTTTCAGCGTATATTTGCCGCGGTCAGAACGTTTTGCAGATGGAATATGAAGCACCGTATGCGCATTCTTTTTTGTCTCAATCTTAAACTTACAGCTTTAGCTGCATTTTCATGTTCTTCTTTAATTTTTTGCCCTGTGTTTATAAAAAACAATGATTTCGCCAAATATCTGAATCACATAGTTAGCCCCACTTTTGGTTTTAAGAGTTTTACAATTTGTAGACGAGCAATTCTCAAGTAATTTTAAAATTAATAGTTTTTATGAACATGTTAACCTACTGAAAGCAGTTCAAAAAATTTACCTGGAGTGACTCAGTTGAAATCAGTACTTCATCATTCTTCGACCATGTCACCTCGGGTGCCGGTTCACCGCCAATCTGTATATCCCACTTCACTGCCTGCCCCGCTTTTACAGTCAAGCTCTTTAAATCATCCAGTTTTAGCCATGCCGGAACTGGAATTGAGAGCCATTTCGAATTATCTTATGAGGAACGATTTGTTTAATATACCAGTGACGAAAATATAATTATTGAATAACACAGACGTTACCGAATTTAGGTTTCGCAACTTGCTTCGCGGAAGGCTCGCTTGGATGTCCGGGGCCAGCTTTATTGACCGCTCTCACTCGAAACTGGTATTCACTGCCTTCTTTCAAGTTCTTTATCGACGCACTCGTTGCTGGAATTATATACAGTAAAAAAGTATCACAGTTTACAGGAAGCAGATGTCTTTTATTTCCATTTAAGTAACTAAGAAAACCACTGAATTCTCATTAAGCAGGAACAGCTAATTTACAAAAAAAAAAGCGATTCAAAAAAGAGCTATAATAAATGGCTACGAGTGTCAACTGCCTGGATGACCATGTGTTTTTGGGATTTGTTGTTGAGGATGCATAATGGATGAACACACTTAGCACATCCCCTGCTACTGATGTTACTAAGGTGCTTCCACGCGCCGAATACAGCTATGGTAGGCCCTGTGGTGCTGCGCTGTATGCTTCCAATTATTACACACCACCTGCTATATGTACGTGCGCCACCTCTTCGTGGGCCACCCGAGTGTAGCTTACTTCCTCGCGAGCACAACTGTCTAATGTGTATTGTCCACCGGTCATTGCCAAGGCGAGCAA